AGATTATTTCAGGTAAAACACAAAATGTGGATTATTTCAGGTAAAACACAACAAGCAGATTATTTCAGGTAAAACAAAACGTGGATTATTTCAGGTAAAACACAAAATGTGGATTATTTCAGGTAAAACACAACAAGCAGATTATTTCAGGTAAAACAAAACGTGGATTATTTCAGGTAAAACACAAAATGTGGATTATTTCAGGTAAAACACAAAATGTGGATTATTTCAGGTAAAACACAACAAACAGATTATTTCAGGTAAAACACAAAATGTGGATTATTTCAGGTAAAACACAAAATGTGGATTATTTCAGGTAAAACACAAAATGTGGATTATTTCAGGTAAAACACAACATGTGGATTATTTCAGGTAAAACACAACATGTGGATTATTTCAGGTAAAACGCAACAAACAGATTATTTCAGGTAAAACACAAAATGTGGATTATTTCAGGTAAAACACAAAATGTGGATTATTTCAGGTAAAACAAAATGTGGATTATTTCAGGTAAAACACAAAATGTGGATTATTTCAGGTAAAACAAAATGTGGATTATTTCAGGTAAAACACAAAATGTGGATTATTTCAGGTAAAACATAACATGCAGATTATTTCAGGTAAAACACAACATGCAGATTATCTCAGGGTTCTATCAGCAGAAAAGTTTTTACTGATGCAAGATTGAACCCAAAGAGAACTTTAGATTTTAGACTTGGACCAAAATCCAGTATTTATTCAGTCTCAGATTATTTTGGTGAAGAATCAAACCAAACGACACGTATCTAAACAATTTAATCCAGAGTTGAGCCACTCCCCTGGAGCAAAGGCATCATCTCCATAGGGGAAAACTCCGCTCCTTGATGTCCATCACCCAGCATTTTTTTAAACTGCATATCCAGCAAAAAAATTGATAGAGCCATAAAGAACTCAGGTAAGTTTGGTTGAAAGGCAGACAGATTTATAACAAGCATCAAGTATATTTCTCCTTTAACAGATGTGCTGCCCAGCTCTGCAGTGATGCACACACAGAGGCAGCTAATGCCCATTATTTTCCCAAAACCTAAAACTTTCAGAAGTTTGTTCACGTCAAAACGGGCTGACGTCATCGCTCCATCGTGTACCGAGGTTCTGTGTCCAAAACATGTTAAACTGGAACATTGTGAGTCAGAAAAGACGCAGGCTTTTGGGTTTAAGGGAAAGAAAGTAGAAGAAAGAAGGATGTAAACCAGAAGGGTGATATTGCTTCTGCACCCTTTCTACCTGTAGGGGGCACCAGATCAGTGTTTACTGATCAATAACTTATTTACCCTTTTAGAAATGAGGTTGTAAGATTCAAAGAACCCTTTTTATAAACAATGACTACTCAGTGATGAAGGAACCAGATTGTCTTTGGGAAATTTATTACAAAAATAGAAAAATCATACTTCCTGGAATAATGAATTAAAGTAGACTTGATGTTAAGTTTATTTAAAAGTTGATGTTTAACCCTTTTAAGAAGGAACAATACATTTTTTTTCCAAATGAACTATTTTGTCTTTTAGTTAATTGATGAATGACACAGTTTAAGAAATTATACAGTTTGTTAATTTGGAGAGAAGGGTTGCTAAAATCTGGTTCTATTAAATGGTAAATGGACTGAACTTATAGAGCACTTTATCAAGTCCCTGTGGACTCCAAAGCTCTTTACACTCACAGACATTCACTTGTTCACACTCACATTCACACTTTGATGGTGGTAAGCTATATTGTAGCCACAGCTGCCCTGGGGCACACTGACAGTGGTGGGGCTGCCATACATGGCTCCACCGGACCCTCTGACCACCATCAGGCAAAGGTGAGTAATATTTTTTAATAATTTAAAGTTAGTTACTTAATTTAACTGCTTCCATCTTGGCACCCATCATCCGCCCCCCACCTGTGGGTTGGCTCGATAACTTTATGCAGCATGCGCAGCGGGTAAAGTAAGTATTGAACACGTCACCATTTTTCTCAGTAAATATATTACTAGAGGTGCTAATGACATGAAATTTTCACCAGATGTCGGTAACAACCCAAG